GTAATACTTATGTAATCCTGAATATGGGCCTATATTTTTCATTCTAATAACCGTGATTTTATCATTTTTTTAGAAAACACAAGACCGTTGTTAGCATTAATATAACTACCCTTAAATTATCAGTTGTAATATAACCTTTACACTAATAATATTGTGACCTCTATCATTGTAATATAACCTTTACGTTCATTGTGACCTCTATCATTGTAATATAACCTTTACGTTCATTGTGACCTCTATCATTGTAATATAACCTTTACGTTCATTGTGACCTCTATCATTGTAATATACCTTTACGTTCATTGTGATCATTGTAATATAACCTTTACGTTCATTGTGACCTCTATCATTGTAATATAACCTTTACGTTCATTGTGACCTCTATCATTGTAATATAACCTTTACGTTCATTGTGACCTCTATCATTGTAATATAACCTTTACGTTCATTGTGACCTCTATCATTGTAATATAACCTTTACGTTCATTGTGACCTCTCTCATTGTAATATAACCTTTACGTTGTCATTGTAACCTTTATCATTGTAATATAACCTTTACGTTCATTGTGACCTCTATCATTGTAATATAACCTTTACGTTCATTGTGACCTCTATCATTGTAATATAACCTTTACGTTCATTGTGACCTCTATCATTGTAATATAACCTTTACACTAATAATATTGTGACCTCTATCATTGTAATATAACCTTTACACTAATTATTTTGTGACCTTTATCACTGTAATATAACCTTTACACTAATTATATTATCAGACTTTATCAGACTTGTGGTTGGTTGTAACCTCATTTTTTTTCAACTGTGACGTCACAACTTCAATATGGAACATTTATTGTAACGTTACAGAAGGCATGAAGTAAAAAGTTTTGTCATTTTAAAGTCAGTTTGAAGTAAAGTTCCCCCTTTTTAACGAATGTTAACAATTTCCATGTCTGATCACGTGGTTTCTATGAGGCGTTAACACAGTCAGTATTAACAACTGTTACTGTTTAAACAGAAATCCTTTATCAACTCTCCGACTCGTTCACCTAAAACGCTGAGTTATATTTTTTTCTATAACAGACAAATGTTACAAACTCATATTTCGTGTTTTCTTTGAGCAATCGTAAAGGTTTAACATAATTTATCTAAAAATGTATTATAAATCTCCCCATACCTCAATTTACGAATGAAAATAAAATGTTTCGTTCATCGCAATTGAAGAAAATTTGCGTCGAATTTTAAGTGTAAGTCATTACGAGGCAAGGAAGCGACTTACCGATGACGTTGTTGATTTGGTAGTTTGGTTGGCGACAAGGTGCTCCTTTTTGTCCGTGATTGTCATCCTGGTACTTCCGGTGTAATAAATGCTTATCCTCTAAAACGTCTGTAGTCTACAGAACGGACAGGAAACAAGAAAAACATAGAGAGTGTTTTACATAATGATAAATATTCAACAAAAATAGAGTTCTTAACCGCTTCTCTCATCACAAACAACATTCATACCTCATTGTATTTTGGTATGGCCGAGCTGACACCTCTGGTGCAAAGGCCACACACCAGAGATGTAACTCTAAACAAATGCCAAAATGTTGACAGCGTTATATCTCCTTACAATTCAACCGGAAACGAACAACAACAGACAATACTAAAGCGAATAGTGAACTATTGTCGATCTTCAAACTGTGGCTGAGAAAATGTGAAAACAAAAAGACCAAATGTCAGGGTACCTCCCTTAAATAATCACGTGACCTAATGTCTGGTGCAAGGAGAGGTGAAGTCTGCGGTGCCCATTAGGGGTTCAGGGGGCATATATATGGCTTCTTTGTCTGTAGAGGCGTTCAACTGCAGCATGCAGGAAAATGTGCCCCAAATATGAATGGTTGGTTTAAATTTAATTTCCAGTTCAATTTTGATATAATGCATTTTCATTCTTTAGCAATATTTTGATGGGCAAGCCTGAAACTTCAATAGCGAAACAGAAAAGTCTGTTTTATATATGTACATAATCATTATTTTATGAGACCGTGCTCTGCAGTGAATGCAAAATTTGCAGTTTTCATTTTTTGCACACATCCCTTCGCAGAGATCAGTAACAGAGAGGAAAAAGGAGCTGTAAGTGGTAAAAGTTATGGCTTCGAAATATGTAATAAAGGATTCTATACGGGAAGTCTTCACTGCTGAACACCTGATCAGACGTAAACCTGGTGTGATCGTTCGGGGGATTCATTAAGCATGGACAGCCAAAAACGATCAGAAACAAATACAAACGAAATACAGAGACTCGTTAGAACATCTACAATTACGTTCACACAGATTCAACGTTCTGTTTTTGTACACTCCTGTAGTCACGTTTTATTTGATCGTTACTAACAGTTTCGAATCTGTACAGTGAACGTGAATCGGTTTACTCCGACCGAGCCGGCTTACATTTTCAAAACTCCTGTTCAGATGATTTAAAAAAAAACTTTCGAAAAAAAAAGAGAAAGTCACATCATTTGAGATATTGACCCTGTCAATCCAAATCAATAAAAATTCAAGAGGTTTGTGTTAACTCTATCTCCAGAGTTATAAACAAGCTCGATTGGTAACTGGTAAAGTGTAACACACCTGCCCCGTCCCCCGTTTCCCCCTACTCCAGCAGTCACGTGCATGTGCAAGTGCCGGTTGTACTAGTTCGAGGTATATGCTAATTAACGGTTGCTCGTGACAGAGACCCGTATGTCAGAGGTCTGTGCCTGGCTTAGTATGCGGGTGGTACTGGAGAAATGAACTTTTACAATGAAATCTGCTTCCTGTTTACAAACTAATTAGTTTTTTAATGTAATGTCTGAAATACTGACTTCTAGGCAGTACAGTAGTAATTGCTATTTATAGATATATTGGCATGAAGTTTTCAATGAAGCAAAATCAATTTCGGTAATAAAACACAACGTGTTGAATTAACATCGAATTCTTAGTGCTATTTATGTGTTAAACACGGTAGTTCTCCATGATTAAAGGTCATAGCTGTGGATTTCATTTCTTACATACCATTTCTATAATCTAGTGCATTTAATTGATGCTGATACATTAAATATAATAAACTTCTGAAACCTCCAAATTCTATAAAACATTGGAAGTATATGTGTTGTCATGGTAACGGTTTTATAAATGACCGTCAACAATTAGGTTAAGGACTGGACATTGAACAATGGTTTACGTAATTTTCTTACCTGTAAATCTTAAGACACAGTTAATCCTTAGGGTGAATGTTCCTTTTTGTGATCTGTAATTGCTTCTACGTAGTTTTACAAATGTCTGAATGTTGGTGTGATGTTGGGGGTGTACATCACTAAAGAACAGATGGTTAGTTCAGGAGTAAAGGACGATGAGGGAAAGAGAGGATGGAAGGATGCGATACTAGAGGCGCAGCGATGTCAGACGATGATTTACATCGGTCCTTATCTACCAAGTCTAGAAATTACAGGGGCACGTGTTTGTTCCTTAACTTTGTCATCTGACAAGTCATTTTTTAAACTTTAATTTACAGAGAGTGACGAGCTGTGTGTACCATTACACTGCCCCCTGGTGGTCCTCGCGGTAATTAGTTTAGAACATGGTACTGATGATGAGAATGAGCGATGCCTTTAAATGAAAGTTTTTTTTTCTGTCAGTAGCCGAAACAGAGTAATTACCTGTCCAGTGTATCATTGACTGGGTAAAGGAAGGGAAGGAATATTGGATAGGAAAACAGGGGAGGGAAGGTCGATGTCACTATGTACCACTGTCGGAGTGGATACAAAGGGCTCCACATAGTTAATGGTGTACTTTTCCTAACAAGAAGAAAAATAATTCTGTATTGGAGTTGTTAGTATTGTAATTTATGTGCGTTGATGAAAGCTACAGTATAACACGCTCTTGTTGGATAAAACAATTGATCTCAGGTTGCTATGATACCTTGTATGACCACCAAAGTTAACTAGTTACATGAATGTTGAACAAGTTACTTTCACTTTACCAGCAATATACTGTGTCAGAGTTCCCACGTTCACGGCGCTTCCACATATGACGACAAAACATGATTGTTCCGCAGTTTTCATGTAAAATTCCAACGGTTTCATGGAACCGCAGCGGGTGTCCAAAGTCATGACAAAGGCATTGGCGGACATGTGTCCTTGTCTCATTAAAAACCATTGCTGATATTTCTGGATGTCGTTAGGACATGCTCCATATTATCTTTGGAAACCATTGCTGAAATTTCTGAGTGTCGTGAGGACATATGAAGACATGATTCCTGGTCTCTTTGAAGACCATTGCTGATATTTCTAAATGTCGGGAGGGCATGGTTGAACACTTTATGATGTAAAATGACCTTTACAATAATGTCCGTTTTTCTGGGAAATGTGTCACTTGTTTCAGATTTTCTGCTGCCTGGTGAATTATGTTGATATCTAACATCATGATTTACTTTCTGTAAATGTTTAAATCACAGACTTAAGATATCAAATTACTGATGTTATGATATCTAAATATACAATGCAGCAGGGTAGTCCTGACTAAGGATTTCATTTCATTTCTCAAAATAACTGTACAATGGATTTGAGTAAGCTTTTACTTGTTTCAGTATTTCAACCCTCTGACTTTAAAACTTTTTAAATGTATTTTGATTTTTATGTCCCGAGTTCATTTTTTCTTTAAAGCATCAAGGTCAACATTTTTTTTCATTTATTATTTTTTAAATACATTGATGACCTGCAACTAAATGATCAAATATTGAGAATTTTTTATTTAATTAATTTTGGTAGGAATTGGACATGAAAACCATTGTTATGACAATTAACACTTACAAAAAGTCACAACTAGACTTTTTAATTTTGAAATATTTTGTAAGTTTATGCAGTACATATAATTATGAGACATTGATTTCATATATTTTTTACATTGTTGAATTTCATCATTAGTCTGAAGTTGTCGTAAATTTACATGTCTTATCTTTTAAGAAATAACAAAAACATAAAAACTTCAGATCTTTTAATAGAAAACTTTGCAAAACATTGAAATGAGGAAGATATATTAAGTAGATGTCAAATTAGAGAAAGGTGATAGCTAGTATCTGTACAGACACAAAGGTACAAAGGACTATATAGGAAATCTAATCACCCAAGTGTTCAGTGTTCATATATGATGACATGGAATTCCGATGACAAATATATTTAATCTATGACAGTATACTGTAAAGCACTTATATTTTGCATGGGATTTATTTTCGCATTAACAGCGAGGAGAATCAATTGCGAATTCAAATCCTTTGCGGTAATTAGTACAACAATAGCTCTAGATTACTTTGATTACAAAAACAGAAACCAAAGAGGAAATATCATCTGGTGATTTATAAAGAAAGTATAAAAGAAACAAAATATGCAAATAAATTAATTAAATAATTAGATAAATAATTAAGGTAACTCTGGCAGTGCAGACTATAAGGTACAGCATTAGTGTAAAAAATCAAACTTTCCACAGAATTTCAACAAACAACAGATCCAATAATAGCTATACCCAGAACAAAAATTACACAAAGACAGAAAGATCCAGATAAAAAACATTCTTTTTAAGCACTGATCAAAAATATGTAAAACTGGAATTTGAAAATTGTATATAACATTTGGTAACATTGACATGAATGTCCATGCCAGTTTTCCATCACCAGTGTGTACTCAGACATTTCTGTCTCCAGTAGATGAATTTCCACACAACTTTCCCAGACAGTGTTGACACTCCATGTTAATAATTCTACCCATGTTACCTAACAAAAATCTGTATAAAGTTGTGGAATTTGGTGCAGCAGACAGGACCTCTGATGTTGTCAGCAGGCCTGTGATTGGTGACTTATCTGTCACCATGGTGACTGGTGAAGGAATTTGGCAAAATAAATATTTACAATTTTCAGGTCAATAGTTGAAAGTGAAATAACACGAATTGATAATGGTTTGCTATATACAAGGAATAAAACATTAATTTCCCAAGCTTCACTAGCTACCTAACTTCAAGGTCATCACAACCATTTCAAGTCAATTTTCCATCAATATGGGGATAGAAATAGGGATTTTGGAAATTAGGACCAGACAAATTTTGTTCATTTGCCAGATGTAGATATAAAAAAGAAATCAACATGATATCATGTTATTTCAATTTCTAGTTAATGTAAATCCTCCATGTTACCTACAATCTAGGTTTAAATCCATACAGTCTCAATGCATGTGGTGAAGATTTTTTCTGTTTACTTCAAAGATTTAAGGCGGCTCATGCCAGAGACTTACAAACAGGAGAGTTCCTTTCTCTAAAATCTATTTCTACCTTTTGAATTTCTATGTTGATTTCCATATCTGATTAAATGCACTTTATACAAACAGTTTAAATCAGTCAGTTATACTTATAACTTTTACATAAAACACCTTCACAGTATCATGTTTACATCTCATATTGCTCCTAACATAAGAATGATAAACATTCTGGTATCATACCATGCATTAGAAAATAAATTGTTTTTAATCACAAGCTACAGTTACTCAATCATCCAAAGGAACACATTCATATTCCAACAAATAAAACACTTTATGTACAAAACACAGCGAATCTTCTTACAAATCTAGAAATAGCTGGATTTCCTTTCCACTTAACACTGTGAGATAACTAAAAGTTTACATAATTTTGTAATATAACACTTTGTATTTTTCCTGGACTTTTTAAAAACAATTTTCTGTATTATTTTTATTTTACTCTTTATCATCGTCAAATCTAGAGGGAGTATAGAATTCTATTTAAACACATCTACATTAGAATCTACTTGTCTGAGCTTTGCCAATTTTCATTTTCAATATATTTTCATGAAACTAAATAAAAATATTAGGATACGATATTTGAGGTCCAGATCACAGCCAAATAAAACAAAAATGAACATTAAACAGAGGTACTGACCACACACACACAAACACACACACACACACATACACACACATTGGATATCTCATCAGCTATGTACAGAACTTGGTGGCCTAGTATTATTATACCTATGATTGATAGGTACCCAGGTCTCACCAAATATTTGCATTGATACACATGCATCGTTGGACGGCAGTCACAACACAAGAAGGACTGTCGTCGCTAGCTCAGGATTCCAAAAATATATACAAGTACAAAATATCTCCCTGCTCGATGTTCAAAAATTATGGGTCTATATACACAATCACAACCCTTTCTTACCTGTACTCACACAGACAATACTGTACATGTTTTAGCTACTAAATAATGATATATTTCCCACAATTCTGTGATAGTAACGTTTTGTGGATAATGAAGTATAAATAATAATTGACAACTTTTGGATAGTTGGTCAGTTTTAAGATATCAACATACATTGATTTATATTGTATAACATATAAGTTACTTTATCAATAAAAGATTTTGGCCATATAAATTTGTTACATAACTATGTCCTATAATGATAAATAATCCAGTTTATAACAAAATCAGGTCAAAACCTCGTGAAATTATTCCTCTATACTTACTACATAAATAAAGCATCCCTTATGATACATACACCTGCGCCCCATAGTTGTATAAAATACCAAGTGTGAAGGAACTGTAGAGTGATTTGGCCTGTTTCATGAACAAGTCTATCTTTCAGAAATATATCTTAAATGTCTTAATCATGACCTTACATTGAAAATAAGAATATTGAAACTATGAGTAAGAGTAAAGGTGACCAAGTTATTGACTGCGGAAGGTTGAAACGCAAACTCACACAAAAAGTGATGCTTGTGAACTGTTAATTTCTACTTATAGTAATAATGACCTAATTTTTTCTGCAGAAGGGCAAACTCCAACAACGAATGACGTTTCGGAAAAGGTGTATGAAGCACCATGATATTTTAACAAAAAAGGCAGGCTGTAAAGTGGTGACAGTGTATGGGGTGGTGTACATACGGATGGATAGATGTATGGATTGACATAAATACTGGAAAATCTCTATACCCTTGATAACTTTTGTTGCGAGGGTACAAAATCTCATTTTGATGAAAAACTAAGCAGAAAAAATCATTGTTGCAGATGGTTTATATTAGCAAGTAAAAAACTGATGCCCATTAATGCCCACACATGTAATCTTAATGCTTTTTACAGAAGATATCAAAAAATCAATATGATAAGATAAACCATATCATTTATCCTAAGGCTGTAACACAGCCTGTGATTGGCTGTTAGTCACATGACAGACATGTGGTTCATCCTGTGACAAGTGGCTTGTCTAAATCATCCATGTCATGACTTCTATGGAAACAGTTGACATTACATTTCTTCATCCTTCGACCATTGATTTCCTGAAAGCATAAATAAAGCACATTTAACAAACATGTACATTAACAGATATCCTGAAATGTCTGATTTACCATCCGGACATTTTTGCAATAAGCCCAGATAATCGACAAATAAATAATAGCACAAAGTCATACAAAAGTATACAAACAGCATCATAGGAGACAGACGCCGGTAGAATGAACTCCTCAACAACTCTAGAGTTTGTGATAATAATTTAAACTAACTTGATTTAACCTTAACTCTGAGTTTCTTATTCTAAAATCATCACAGAAGAAGTATGATAAGAATCAGAGATTAGTAGAATACAATAGTTATACTGCTGTCAAACGATCACTCAAAGATCTGGATGTAATTTGCTTCTGTAATATTTGGAAGACAACACTAGAAATTTCTTTGATATACAAAATGTATTTTATAAATCTGAGTTTAACAATGTAGGTCACTACATTACATGGATATTACACATTTCAAGTGTTTCTTTTATATCCCCAACCACCTAATAAGTTGCAATGAAAGATATCTGTGTTTTGTTGGTCAACATATGGTATGCAGGTTTTCTGGGTCATAAAACTTCTATCTCCAGCCAAAGATGCTTTTTAGTGAGCGTAATACCAGACCAGCCAACAGTAGGGCAGCTTAAAATATCTTAAATGATCTCCACCTCTGTCAGAATCACTAATAATGATTTCTGTTCCTGTCAGGGTGAACTTCCTATCTCTTGTTTATTTACCATCTGTTAGATCAAAGGTTGGCCAAGATAAAATAACAAATTCTGATATTTAAAGTTTGAACAACCCCTAGTTATAAATATCAACAATAAAAGTTCTGGCATACTTACAAATGATTTTAGATCAGAATATTAACACATTATTTCGGAACAGAACATGAAGAAGTCTTTTGCAAAACTGTCATAAGTTTTTGTTGTGAAGTTAACATCCCTTTCTGCTTTAAAGACATTTAATCATTAAATTCTTCAATGATATCAAATTTAATCACAGGTTATGAATTTACTGAAAATCTTTGAAGTAATGTCTATTTCTGATACTGAGAACTACCAGTTAACATCAGTAAGTTGTCTGTGGAGATCAATTAACCTTAATAAATATTATATTGTCAAATTCAAGATGGCTGATTTGTCAGCCATTTTGCTTTTCTAAATCAATTAAACTGACTTATACTGACAGGTACAATTAATTAGTAAGGGGAACCTTTACATGAAATTTGAGAAGAGTCTATCCAGTACTTCTCAACAAATAGTGATAAAAGAATTTTTTTCAGGATGAATGACAGAATTCACAAACAATGGAGAAAAAGTTATTAGTCCACCATGTAATGGTAAAACATTGCCAGTTACTATACAAGTGAAAATTGTAATTAAAATACATCATGTCACATAAAATGATGAAAATATCAATCCATTGTTAAAGATAACAGAACATTTGATGTTTATAGAAATATATATATATACCTAGTTCTTCAAAACAACAAATTCAAACCACACTTGTTGAGGTGGATGTGAACAATGAAGTACCCTTTTGTGGCACAACTGAAGTAATCTTCACACCCACTGTTGTGAATATAACAAAAATCTGCTATTCTCTCATTTAATAAATGATATTTCATACCAGCCTCTGAACAAACAAACTCAGAAATGTGGAGATGATGATATTTCAGAAGAAATCTAATAAGTCTTCAGTATGTGTATTTCCAATGTATTGAGCCATTGAGTTTGTGTGATGTGAGAACCCCCACAGATTCAGGCCTACAGCCAGAGATCTAAGCAGGCGATGCATATCTGTTTGTAATCTGGTGTTTAAGTGTAACTTATTGATAGATATGCAGTAGAGATTTAGAAACCATTAAGCTGAGAATGTTTGGTCTTGAGATAAAGCTGGGATCAGTGAAGACTTAAACATATCACTTACCTAGCCAAGCTGCCCAGCAAAAACAACACTGATGGTTTTACTTAAATGATTTTTGAACTACCTCCTTGATGATATATCAATTTGTCATATACTGTCGAATCATAAATTTTTGTGGGGTTCAAATATCATGGATTTCAAAGAATACTATTTTGTGTGCACTTAATTTGGTGTACTAAGAAAACACTTAAGACATTAATTGATACTTCTTCAATATTACATTTAATTGATTTTTGGACATTGGTTAAATGTGAAAACAAAATAAATCCTCCCTATCAAAATGAACTTTACAGCAAAAACTCTTTTATGTAAAAGATTCAGATGAAGAGTAATAAAATCTAATAGCTATCAATTGATCATATAATGACTAAATGACAGCATGTGTCATAATATTAAGCAGAGATTTACTCTGACCAAGTGTCACTAGATACTAGAGATTTACTCTGACCAAGTGTCACTAGATACTAAAGATTTACTCTGACCAAGTGTCACTAGATACTAGAGATTTACTCTGACCAAGTGTCACTAGATACTAAAGATTTACTCTGACCAAGTGTCACTAGATACTAGAGATTTACTCTGACCAAGTGTCACTAGATACTAGAGATTTACTCTGACCAAGTGTTGACCAAGTGTCACTAGATAGTAGAGATTTACTCTGACCAAGTGTCACTAGATAACAGAGATTTACTCTGACCAAGTGTCATTAGATACTAGAGATTTACTCTGACCAAGTGTCACTAGATAACAGAGATTTACTCTGACCAAGTGTCACTAGATACTAGAGATTTACTCTGACCAAGTGTCACTAGATACTAAAGATTCACTCTGACCAAGTGTCACTAGATACTAGAGATTTACTCTGACCAAGTGTCACTAGATACTAGAGATTTACTCTGACCAAGTGTCATTAGATAACAGAGATTTACTCTGACAAAGTGTCACTAGATAGTAGAGATTTACTCTGGCGAAGTCTCACTAGATACCAGAGATTTACTCTGACCAAGTGTCACTAGATACTAGAGATTTACTCTGACCAAGTGTCACTAGATAACAGAGATTTACTCTGACCAAGTGTTGACCAAGTGTCACTAGATACTAAAGATTCACTCTGACCAAGTGTCACTAGATACTAGAGATTTACTCTGACCAAGTGTCACTAGATACTAAAGATTCACTCTGACCAAGTGTCACTAGATACTAGAGATTTTCTCTGACTAAGTGTTGCTAATTTAGGCTATTTGATGTAATAATTCAATAAACAAAATCAAGTACATTTTAATGCAGCCTTGATAAAAGATTTCAATATAGAAGGAGGATAATTTACTTGCTCTGATTACGTAAGTGTAAAAACGATGAAGTCAAATGTTATCTACCAAAACAAGCATGGTTTTATCACAGATCAAAATTCATTTAATTCTTCTTCAGATTTTTCCTCCCAAACCCAGCAGGTACAGGGTGTTTTTACTTGGTACTTGGTGCCAGAATACATTTATATTCCTCAAAATATCTGATTCACTGATCACCAAGCCATCATGGAACTATCAAAGTATCAAAACTAGTTTCTGCAGAGTGCCATCAATTTTTGCTTTTGAAAGAAAGCAGTGGTAGCTTTTACATCAATGGTCTAAGGTGAAATATATATAAATATAGGTACTGGCATCACTATATAGAACAACGACATGTGTCAGAGATGGCAGGGGGTGTATAAATGCTAGTAATGAGTTGAATCATGACCTAATCTTAGAGAAACCTTGATTGCCTAGCTATGAAGAAACCTTGATTACCTAGCCTTAGAGAAGCTACCTACCCATTAAGAAACATTAGATACCTAAGTATAAATAAACTATTTACTGAGTCATGGAGAAACCCTAATTAACTTGTCTTGAGGAAACTCTGGTTTCCCATATGGGAGAACCTTGGTGCTGGAATAGTTACCCACCCACAGAAAAATCCTAACTCTCCATGGAGAAACCCTTCTTATTCAGACATCATTCAGGAGAAACCCTAATCACTCAGCCATGGAGAAACCCTAATAAATCCTGGTTATTCAGCCAATAAGTAATCCTAATTAAAGCCTATTTACTCAGCCATGAAGTAACCCTCATCAAAGCCTAGTTACTTAGCCATGGAGAAACCTTAATTAGAGCCTAGTTACACAGTCATTAACCATTATTAAATCCTAGTTACTCTGCCAATAAGAAATCCTAATTAAAGCCTTGTTGCTCAACAATGAAGAAAACCCTACTTAATTAGTCATGAAAAATCCATAATACCTCACCCAAGGAGAAACCCTTATCAATCATTGTCATTGTCATTGTTTAAGAGAGCCCCTAGTTATAAAACCATGGAAAAACCAATGTTTCTCTGCCTTAGTTATTCAGTCATGAGAAAACCCTAGTTGCACAGCCATGGAGAACCTCTAGTTACTCAGCCGTGGAGAACCTCTAGTTACACAGCCGTGGAGAACCTCTAGTTACTCAGTCATGGAGAACCTCTAGTTACACAGCCGTGGAGAACCTCTAGTTACACAGCCGTGGAGAACCTCTAGTTACTCAGCCGTGGAGAACCTCTAGTTACTCAGCCGTGGAGAACCTCTAGTTACTCAGCCGTGGAGAACCTCTAGTTACACAGCCGTGGAGAACCTCTAGTTACTCAGCCGTGGAGAACCTCTAGTTACTCAGCCGTGGAGAACCTCTAGTTACTCAGCCGTGGAGAACCTCTAGTTACACAGCCGTGGAGAACCTCTAGTTACACAGCCGTGGAGAACCTCTAGTTACACAGTCATGGAGAACCTCTAGTTACACAGCCGTGGAGAACCTCTAGTTACACAGCCGTGGAGAACCTCTAGTTACTCAGCCGTGGAGAACCTCTAGTTACTCAGCCGTGGAGAACCTCTAGTTACTCAGCCGTGGAGAACCTCTAGTTACTCAGCCGTGGAGAACCTCTAGTTACACAGCCGTGGAGAATCTCTAGTTACTCAGCCATGGAGAACCTCTAGTTACTCAGTCCTTGGAAACCTCCAACTTTTCAGCCATGGAAAAACAATGATAACTCATTTGTGGAATAACCTCAATGTA